GTGGGCTGTGAGGAGGGGGAGGATTGGGCCGAGGGGGTGTGTGTGGGCTGCGGGTTGTGGGATGAGGGGAGGGGTGGGATGGGCCACGATATGGGCGGGTTGGGGGGAGGTGTGGAGATGAAATGGGGTGACGTCGTCGGGAGTGTCCAGAAAATGTAGTTCGAACGGGGAGGGGAAGTGGTCGAAGGGAAAGGTGGATTCATCAAAGACGACATGGCGGGAGATGATTATTTTATTAGTGGTGAGGTCGAGACATCGGAAACCCCGTTGGTTGGATGGATAACCAAGAAAAATACACCGAGCCGGACGCGGGGAGAGTTTGTGAGGGGCGGTTGCAGAGGTGTTGGGATAGCAAAGGCAGCTAAAGACACGAAGGTGGGAGTAAGTGGGTGGTGTTTGGAAGAGAACTTCATGAGGAGTGCGTTGTTGGAGGGTGGTGGTGGGGAGAAGATTGAAGAGATGGCACGCCATGTGGAGGGCTTCAACCCAGTATTCAGGAGGTAGTTGGGCTTGAAATAGCAGAGTGCGGATGGTGTTGTTCACGGTGCGAATTGTGCGTTCCGCCCGACCGTTTTGTTGGCTGGTGTGAGGACAAGAAAAGCGAAATAGAATTCCTAGAGAGTTAAACATATTTTGGAGGGGTGTGTTTCTGTATTCAGTTCCGTTGTCACATTGTACAGATTTGATGGTTGTGTTAAATTGGTTCTTTACATAAGCAACAAAATTAGTTAAGTGAGAAAAAGCATCAGATTTATGTCGAAGAGGAAAAACCCATAAATAGTGAGAATAATCATCTAGAAGAAGCATATAAAATTTAAAACCAGTTATACTAGAAACAGGTGATTGCCATAAATAAGTATGCATTAATTGAAAAGGGAAATAGGAAAGTCGAGCGGAAGAAGTAAAAGGAAGTCGAACATGCTTCCCTAATTGACAAGCATGACATAAATTATGCTGAAGTTGTTTAATAAAAGAAAACAAAGATAAATAAGGGACACTATCTAGAACTGCAGGACTGGGGTGACCAAGACGTTGATGCCACGTTTAGGCTGAGACTGAAGCAACGTGGGCTTGAGCGGTGGAGTCGTGTGTGCGCAGAGGATAGAGAGGGCCTTCATTATTGCAACGTTGAATAACGGTTCCCGTCCGAGAATCCTTCACAGAAAAACCGTTAGAGTCAAATTCTACAGTGCAATTATTGTCACGAGTGAACTGACGAACGGAAATAAGGTTATGAATGATATGAGGGGAAACAAGGACATTGTTAAGGGAAAGGGGTGGGGAGGTGGGGAAGGTGTGTTTACCAATAGCCGTAGTGCTTACTTTTGATCCATTACCAACAGTGATAAAATGTGGAGAATTTAAGCTTTGTGAATAAACATGAGAAATAGTACCTAGGTCTGAAGCAATGTGATGAGTGGCGCCGGTGTCCATGAGCCAGGTGGGTTCTCGGAGGGTCATCGTATCAAAATGGTGGGCTAAGGCCGTGGGGGTGAGGGGTTGGGGTTGGGCCGAGGGAGACCCGTAGGTGTAGGGGTGGGGTTGACTTGGGTTTTGGGGATTCGGGTATAGGGGAGGGTTTGGGTAGGGGTTGGGTAGGGGGCGAGCTGATATGGGTAAGTGGGGGAGGTGAAGTGGGCCTGGGCAGGGAAGGGGTGGGGGTTGGGCGTGGGCCCAGTAGGCCTGGGCCAGGGTTTTGGTATGGGTTTTGCCAAGGTCCAAAATTCGTTGGAGTGGTCTGGGAGTTGGATCCAGAGTTACGGCCTCGACCGCGACCGCGGTTCGGTCGTCCACTGCGTCCACCATAGCCGTACCCGCGTCCGCCGTTGCCCTGAGGTTGTCCGCCATGAAGCTGTCCGCCATAGTGCTGTCCATCGCCACTGCCGCCCTGCTGCCCGCCGCCTGCAGGCGCACCACCGCGGCCCTGCTGCCGGAAACCAGCGTGACCACCGTGGCCGAGGGTGGCCAGGGCAGTCCCCTCATCGTCGGGAGCAGTGTGCGTCCGCCGTTGCCCTTCGAGGAGGAGAAGTGTAGATCAGGTCTCCATGAAAGTCGGCGGGGGTTTTTGGAATGTGTAATTTGCAATAAATAGAACTAAAACATAATGACTTTCCTAATGTAGGACTTAAACTTTTTTATTCCCTAAATAGGACTTAATAATGACTTAGTGGGAGGAATAATGTCCAGTAATGATGGACATTTACTTGAATAATGACTACTTCATAATGACCAAATGTTCTACATTGGGAAATAAAAACATATAGTCCTATATTGGAAAAGTCATTATGTTTTAGTCCTATTTAGGTAAATTTCTCTTTTGGAATTGCAGAAAGGACGCCTGGGAGTCGAGATCGTCGGGAAGGCCACGTAGAGTTTGTAAAACAAGCTGATACTCGGTCATCGGGGCATCCACGTAGAGAGAGAGGACGGCGCTGGGTGAGAAAGAGCTGGCGGCGCCGAGAGAGAAAGCGTATCGAGGTTAGCCTAGGGTTGGCTCTGATACCATGAAGAAATATATTTTTTTCGATAATAATTACAAGTAAATCACCTCCCCTTATATACATGTAGGAGGTATATTGGGAAGGAAACAATATTAAATACAAATCCTATACAATCAAGGAATCTACCAAATATAACAATAATATTAAATATGTGATATATACTTTACATATTTAACACTGATCCTGGCAAGCTCTTCGTGAATATATCTGCCGATCAAAGAGTGCAGGAATATGAGTGAGTGTGATGAGGTGATGATTAAGTTTTTCGGTAAATTAACCTTCCCAATGAAGGGTTAGTTTTCTCCGCGTGTCATGTCTCTCGAGAAGTGGACGAAGGTTAAGACGAGTCTAAAGTCTTCTCAATTTGATTTGAAAATAAAAATACTACACTATTGATCACTTTTGAGAAAAATAAAATAAATAGTACGAGTATAGGACTAGACTTCGGGCCAAGGCGTTATCTGAGTTAACTATTGTTGTCACATATTTAATCAATAATTGGAATAATAATATTTCTGTCACAAATATTTCATTAACGTATCCTCTCTCAATGTATCATTAATGTGTTATAAAATGTTTGGCTTAATTAATTTTATATCCTCATAGACAAGGCAAAAACTAATTTTCAATTATTAATTATTTTTTCTCTCGACATAATTAATTAATTTAAATAATTAATTATTGAACAACTTTTCTTTCTGCGCCGACTTCAAATTCCGAACCAATTTAAGTCAAATGAATTAATTTCGAATTGAATCAAATGTTTTCAACTTTTTCACTTCAAACAATTTTTTTTGGTACTTTTTCAATCCTTTTGACCTTAAATCTTTTAACGGGGTGCACCGCCACATTTGAATGTACATTTTTCAATTCATAAATTTTCACCATGTTTTACCCTCTTGCTCCGCTTTATTCTATTTGCACAATCTTTTACACTTTTTGTACCACTTTTGACCCAACTTTTATTCTTTTTATAACAAGACATAATTTTTGTGCATTTCTACAATTATAAATAAAACATATAAAAAGCATTGAGAAACTAATTTGTTTAATCCAAAATTGAACAACATTAAATATAAAGAAGATAAGTGGGTACAAAACGGACTTATCATGAGGCCATGTTAAAACTTGTCACAGACAAAATGAAAATCAAGCTCTATATTCTTAGTCTTTTCATGATAATCAGGGTTGTTGGTAATATAGATTGGAGCCTTGATGTCACAAGGAATGGGGATATGAAGGATATCAAACCTATAAATGAGGCAAGAAAGCCAAGCGAGCTCAGTAGTCACGCTGCATGTCGTATCGATCTATACTTAGCTGAGAGAAACAATAGGTTGTTTTTTTGGATTTTGATGAGATAGGACTTTAACCTTAAAGAGAAAAAGTATCCACTCTTTTATTTGCATGAAATAAGACACGAAGCACAATCTGAATCACAGTAAGAATCTAGTTTGAAGTCACTGGAGGAGTTGAGAAGAAGGCATTGAGATGGATTAACATGGATGTAATGAAGGGATGTATAGCTGCATCTCAGTGTTTTTGCCTTGGATCTTTCATAATTTGACTGAGGATGTGTGTAGCATATAAGCAAGATCTGGCTTGGTGTGGGTGAGGAAATTCATTTTTCCTACTAAACTGAGATAAGAGGACTAGAGTCCATACGTAGTTGCAAATGTGCTTCTAAAGGATACATTGCTGGACGAACACTCTCACAATCAAAATCCTTCAAAAGCTCAAGGGTAAACTTCCTTTAAGTGATAAATAGACCTTTTAAATGATATAGAATTTCAAGACCAAAAAAGTAACTTAGTAGACCAAGATCCTTAATCTTGAATAAAGAACCAAGATGTAATTCCAAGTTTTCAATTTCTATAGGGTTATTGCCGGTGATAATGATGTCATCAATATAAATGGCAGGATGATTCACCGAGGTACCTGACTTCTTGGTAAAAAGGGACTAATCATTTTTAGAAGAGCTCTGGATCTGAGAGTAGCTGAAAGTTTAGAGTACCATTATCTAGAAGCTTATTTCAAACCATATAAACACTTTTGTAATCTGAGTACTTTGTTGGTTGTGATGTACAACCCTCAGGGAGGTTTCATAAAAATGTCTTCATCCAAATCTCCATGAAGAAAAGTGTTATTGACATCTAGTTGAAATCTGGGCCAACTTTTCGTAACAGATGATGTTATGAGAGTGCGTACAATGGTTATCTTCACATAAGTAGAAAAGTTTTCATGTTCGTCTATCCATGCTTTCTGAGTACATCCATGAATCACTAGGCTTTCTATCTGGGATAAAATCATTATAGTTTATTGGGGACAGAGAAGACCTTACCTTGAAGGCTTGAAGACGATGAAGGGAAGTTGGAGAAGAGAACATGCACCAATGGGGGAGGAGATAGAATAGATGAGCTCTTGCGGAAGAAGAGAAGAAGGTCGGTGACGGATGAGATTGAGAAGATGAGCGGAATAAGTCCAACTCTTGGAGTCCACAGAACATCCTTTATGCTTTTGATTGGATTTGCAAACAAGTTTTTTTATTTATACTTCAAGCTAAAAATTCATCAAAATCTATTTTTTAATAATCCTTGAAAATTTATCATTTTTACAATATCATTATATTTAGAAAGTTTTTTTAAAATCTCAATTTAATACTTCCAAAATTTTAAATAATTTTTCAAAATCTCAAATGAATACTTCCAAATTTTAAATAAATTTTCAAAATCTCAATTAAATAGTCATTGACTCATAAAATACAAAAAGATCCTTCATAGTACGGTGTACGGATTGAATACAACCACAAGTTATTCTCAACTCCGTGCCTCCTTCTGCGGCCCTTCTCTTCAATAGCTAGCTGAAGAAGCTGCACACAACTGGCATCTCTCTCCCATGGCGGCTCCTCACCAGCAGACCAAAATCTCCCTTCTCGTTTCATTGCTGTTCTTCGCCTCCACGTCTCCCATTTCTTCCGAAAAGGTTTCTTTGGATCTGTACTACGAATCCCTTTGCCCTTACAGCGCCGATTTCATAGTCAATTACTTGGCCCAAATCTTCGAAAATGGGATAATCGACATTGTGGATCTCACTCTTTATCCTTGGGGCAATGCTAAGCTTCATTCAAATTCATCCTCCTTCACATGCCAGGTTCTTCCCCAAATTACCCATCTTTTTGCCCATCTCAGTTGACCCTTTGCGGTTCTTGAATTGATATTCGTTGAATCATTTGATTTTCCTCTGTTTCTGCTTCAGCATGGCGCGACGGAGTGTTTCTTGAACACTATAGAGGTTTGTGCCATTGATGCTTGGCCAGATGTGGTATGTATCAGATTGGTTTCATACTGTTTGGTTCATTTGAATTGGAAGTTGACTTTGGCTCTGGATGGCATTAGCTTTAGCCTGACAGCTTTTAGCATTTTTCAAAGTTAATCTGTATCGTTAAAAACTTATTCAAAACGCCTAACCATAAATGCTGTTCCTAGATGAAGCCTTAGTATGAAATTCCTTTCAATGTGAATTTTTTAATGTTTTTTTATGGGATTAGAAGGTCTTAAATGTGACCCAATAGTTCTTAAAACATATATTTGATGCATCTCTAGCCATCCATCTAATTGACTTAACATCTATCTGCATTCTGCAGAAAGAACACTTCCCTTTCATATATTGTGTGGAAAGTCTGGTCTACAATGGAAAGTATACTCAGTGGGAGACATGTTATGAGAAATCCGGCAAGGATCCGAAGCCGGTTTCTGACTGTTATGCGACTGGGAGGGGTAAAGAGGTTAGCCTTCTTTTCCCAATGGTCCCATATTCTAATTATGATCATAATTCGTTATTCGAACTCTGTTTGTTTAGATGCACCATTCTGATTTGCACTAACCAAACATTTCATCACTTCTGTTTGCATTTATCGGGTTCGGCTTTGCAGCTTGAATTGTGCTATGCAGCAGACACAATGCCCTTGAGCCCCCTCATGAGTATGTGTCGTGGGTAGTCGTGGATGGGCAACCCCTATATGAGGTCAGGTCCCTTCCGCTTAAGCCTCGTTCGGGAACCACGTTTTCAATTATCTTTAGCATTTTGAATTATTTCTAGTGGTTCGAGTTAATTTTCAAAAGAGTAAATTGCATAAATAGTCCCTAATTATAGGTAGTTTTCCATATTTAGTTCCCAATTCTAAGATATTACATAAATGGTCTCCAATTTTTGAAAATTGTTTTATCAATAGCCCTTTAGGCCAAATATGACAATATTTTTTCCACATTTAGTCCCTGAAGGACCGGTTGTGAAATAGTTTTCAAAAATTAAGGGCCATTTATGTAATATCTCAAAATTGTGGACTAAATATGGAAAACCACCTATAATCAGGGATCATTTATAAAATTTACTCTTTTGAAAATGCTACGATGTATTACTAAACACTGTCGTTAGATAGCATTTTTCGAAATGCTAAAGCTAAACCACTGAAACTGCTGCAAAATGATCACTTAATATGATGAACTTAATATTGAGGGGCATCTCTTGTTGCAGGATTATGAGAGGACTTTAAGCTACATCTGCAAAGCTTACAAAGGAACTACCGAAATAGCCATTTGCAATGAATTTCGTGCTCAAGATGGTGGGATGATTAGGCTCGTGACTAATCCATTGCGATATATGAAGAGAACTACACAATTATCAACTATAACTTCAGTCGCAAAATCTTTCATGAAACGAGCTAAACAGGTTTTATTATCAGCTTAAGCTAACACGCCTTTTCTTGCCTTAATGTTTGTATCTTTAAGAAGCCAAGCCATTATGAGAGAGCATACTCTTGGCTTATTGTATATATCATCTTAGTACTGAAGTACCTCTGTTGTAAGAAAATAAATTTTATTTGGATTTTCTATTCTCTATTTCCTGAAGAAAAAAAATCATTTGATATTTCTTGACAAACCCATTGTTAACCAGATATTAGCACTTGAATTGTTATCAATCTTGGTATATGAAACTCATTTGATTAACAGCTGAAGTAAACCCCCCATCCAATACAAGATTGTGTCCTGTGATGAACCCAGAATCCTCACTAGCCAGAAACAGCACAGCTTGTGCCACATCTTCCATTGTCCCCCCTCTCCCAACCAAGAGGCTCCCCCGTTCTCCGACGATTTCCCCCACTTCCTCCGCCTCCACGTCCGCCTTCCCGAGAAACCTCCGGAACGCGCTCAGAAGCATCTCCGAGGGGATGCCATGTGGCGAAACGCAGTTCACCCGGATCCCGTGTTGCCCCAGCTCGCACGCCGCACTCCTCACCAGCCCCAGGATGGCTGACTTTGACAAGGAGTACGGGTGCGAGGCCAGGCCGCCCATGACGGCGGCCGAGCTGGAGGAGCATATGATCGTTCCTCCGCTGTCGCCGGCCGCCACCATGGCTCGCGCCGCGTGCTTGATGCCGTGGACCACCCCGTTGAGGTTCACGGCAAGGAGGCTCGCCAGCTTGTCCATTTTGAGGTTCATGATGCTCCCGCTGGGACCCGCGACCCCGGCGTTGTTGAACATGATGTCTAGCCTCCCCCTACATTCTAGCGCGAGCTTGACGGCGGATTCGACGTCAGATTCCTTGGAAACGTCGCAGTGGATGTATCGCCCCCCGATGGATTCTGCGAGTGGGGCCCCTAGGTCGTCCAGTATGTCGGCGATGATGACATCAGCGCCGTTCTTGGCCAGTAGCCTTGCTGTTTCAGCCCCTATCCCTCTTGCCCCACCAGTAATGACTGCAACTTTGCCATTCACAACTAACCTGAGAGCAACCATTGCTTTGTTTGGGAATAATGTTTTTAATTAACGTCACCATTTTGAACGATTATTTAATAGTGCAGATTAATTTTGAAAATACTAAAACTAAACGTTAGAGTTAGATAATATTTTCAAAATGTTAAAAATTAAACGCTCAAACTGTAACCAAACGAGTACTAAATGTGAAACAATTAAAAACAAATCAACAAAAACCAACCTTTTGGCAATACATTCACATGTTTTTCTCCCAAAATCCATTTTGTTTTGAGACAAAACACTTGTTGGAGACTTGAAGTTTGGGAATATTCATCACGCCATATATCTTGGAATTTATAGGATTCTTTTTTCCAGGAAAGGATGTGCGTTAAAAAAAGAAAACAAAACAACAAAAACAAGTTTCGGAAGTCAGAAAAAGAGTTCACATCATTGTCATTTAGATCATCTACTTTCTACCTAGAAACTAGAATTACCAAGCAATTAAATATGGGAAGGCTATGTTCCTGCTAATGTTGTTAATTATTGCGTGGATTCCGGGCCATTTTTGTAATGAAACCATTTTAGATAATTTTTAGAAGGGGTAGATTAATGTGGAAATCGCTAACGCTAAAAGATGTGTCGTTGGATACCGGTTTCTAAACGCTGAAATTAAATTCTGAAACTAATGTCAAGCATAGCGGAAGTATTGGTTTGTGGAAAAGAATTAAAGGGTGGCTGCAAAAATGTAAAAAAAAACTATAAGGAATTTAGTTCTACAAAAGGAGCATTTGGTTCAGATTCTGATGTTGATTTTGTTGATTCTTATTAGGTTAGAACCCGTTATTTAACCATCTTCCAACACCTTACTTGTCTCCGTTGAGTTATGCCCAAAATGATTGTTACACTTCTCATTTTTTAATTGAAAATTAGGTGTAAAACACATGAAGAGAGAAACAATACGATAAATATCATACATCTACATGTATAATATATATAAATTCAGTAGAAATAATTGTTGTAACTTGCACATTAATTTTTTTATCAAGTGACAAATGAGGTGAAAAACACATGAAGAGAGAAATGATACGATAAATTACACCAAGAATTCTCCATGTTGGATGTTGATTTTATGCGTTTGAACTGTGAATGAAATGAAGAGAATAAAATTTGTTCAATCTTTCGTGATTGCTAGACGCATTTGAGTTTGTTTATCGCCATTATTTAATACACTTACTTTATAATTTAATTTTAGAAGATACCTCGGAGACAACAAGGGCTGGTGGCGCAGTTGGCTAGCGCGTAGGTCTCATAGCTTCTGAGTTATCCTGAGGTCGAGAGTTCGAGCCTCTCTCACCCCATTCAATTTTTTAGTGTTTTCGGATTTCCTCAAGAAGTCTAGTTAAGAATTTTCAACATTGGGAACCAATGTCATGTGATGACCTGGGGCACTCTGGTGCCCCGTTCGTAAAATTGACGGTTCCTACCCCTCGGTAAACTTCCCTACCCCGCTCCGACCCGAACACACTCTTCACCTTCTTCAATTGCACCTCACAAGTTGATTTTGACTTTGGAACCAATGTCATTGAAACCAAGGTGTAGTTATATTGGTATTTTAAATATGATTATGAAGAAATCACCAATCCTCTCTACAGGCGAGTGCGAGTTCAATGACAAGACCCGAGTCATGCTACACTGAGATGATCAATGTAGAAAACTTTGTAATGCATTAATTTTGAGTAAATTTCGTAAAATGTCCCCAATTATAGGTCGTTTTACATACTTAGTCCTTACATATCAAATATCAGTATTTTAGTCCCCAATTATGATATTGTTTTCCATAAATAGTTCTTTGTTAACTTTTCCGTTAAGAACATGGATAAAATTATATATTCACATTCATCTCTCTTTAATTACGCTTCCTCCCTCATCTCGTACTCATTCTCAAACCCGTTGATGAGTTTACAGCTCTAAATCCAAACCGAAACGATCACTCATCTCTCAGTACTTCATGGATGAATTTTATGAGTTAGTCTCAGAAAATTGTAAAGAAAACGAACCTTAAAACTCATCCATGAAGGTTACTTGGTTTTTATTTTAGATTCTACCAAAAAGACGAACAATTGAGAGATGAGTGATGATTTCGGTTTTAAGTTCAAAGCTTCAAACTCAGCGACGGGTTTGGAAAATGAGTGCGAGAGGAGAGAGGAAGCCTAATTGAGGAGAGACATGAGCGTGAATTTACAATTTTATATACGTTTTTAACGAAAATGTTAACAAAGGACCATTCGTGGAAAATAATATAATAATTGGGGACTAAAATACTGATATTTGATATGGATGAATTAAATATGAAAAATTAATTATAACTGGGGACCTTTTATATAATTTACTCATTAATTTTATTTTTGATTGAACAATGATTAGCATTTTGTTACTCATTAATCACTGAGTGAACATTGACCAATCACCACATGCTAGACATTCTTTTATCTCTTTATTTGTCTATAATTGAACATCTTTCAGACATCTACCGGACATTTTCTACTATATAAATAGTTTGTAATAGAAAGATGATGAGACATTCATTCATACAACCATAAAATTGATTACACTCTTAAAATAGAGTAAAATATATATGTGGACACATGCAATTTATCCTGATTTAAGTTATTTTTTGTGTGTTCTTTACTTTCTCGCTTATTTTGAAAAAATGAGGATGCTAAAGTGGTGACATCACCTTGACACCCTATGTGGCACGCACATAAGATGAATGTGTGTATGACGACACATGCCCTTTGTTTGAATGTGTGGAAAAAGATATATTAAAGAAAATTGGAGGTGAGAAAATACATACTTTCGTGTGTTTTCGCTTGTTTGTATTGAAATGAAAATAAAGAGGGAAAAACTTAAAAGGCCCACTAAAAAACTTGTTTCTCCTTCCATTATGAGAATATGCACACATGAACTACTCATAGTACTATCTCTATCTTTTCTCTTTTTTTGTCCTTTATACTTTTTTCCTCAACTTTTTGCATTTTCATATCATTTTTTCTACATCCAAAGAACAAAGTTTTTTCAATTCATTTTTTTCTTCATTTTCACATCTCATCACTTTTGTTCCTATAATTTTCTTTCCTAATACAAGCAAAGTCATATTGTCCCCATAACATAGCCCATCTAATTTATCTTGGTGGTGCCCTACACGAGGCTTTACCCGTAAGAGTTAAACAGAACACTTAACACTGAAAACCCATCTTGTTATTGGTGCACCTCTTGTGAGGAATCATATACTCTTTCAACAAAGGAGCTAAAAATCCTAAATCTCATATACTCTTCAACACAAGAAAGTTGTAGGTCTTGGAGGATGTGGAATATTTGGAAAGCTTTAAAGTGAAAGATTTTTTAACAACTAGAAGTGAGTCTAAGATAGATCATCCATTCAATTGAGAGACTAATCGAAGAATTACATACTCTTTGATTGTCTTCTTCTCATACAAATTAGTCTTTTCATTTTACTATCACTGTTGGAAATCACTCGTTTGTTATTTATGAAGCTGATGTTCTGTTTAAACGAGCTATTTGTATTCTTGCTTTTTTATTCATTTACTCCTTCCGTCCCTATTTAAATTGTTTCTTTACTATTTACAGGATCAAAGTTTATTTACTTTCTTTTCTTATTTTTACTAGTCATTTGATAAAATAATATAGTCATGTCATAACAATTTTTGTAGATCTTTTGATGTGGTATTAAATATGTAATTTTTATTTTTTAATTATACACAATGTTTCATATAAAATAAATTCAAAACAACTTTAATCAAACATATAAACCGAAAATGCAATTTAAATTGGGACGCATAGATTAATAAATCATGGAGAGTGATGCATATTTTTTTTGGTAAAAAAATTACAACCATGTTAGGGGTACACCAAAAGTGTACCCCCAAGTTGTATCCCAAAGAAATTCACCGACATTTTAACGGTTCACACCGACAGAAAATGTTAGTTCAATTAAAACAATTTGCATTGACACTTTTTGCCATTGTAAATCATCACACTACTATCACACTAATACAAAATGTCAATGCATGCCTTTGACGTACAAAATAAGATACAAATTTTGACGTGCAAATAGCTTAATCCAAAAAATTATCTTGGAATGGTAATAGAAGTAATTACAAAAGTGGGGCCCTTGTAGTAATTCTAGAGTTGGAACTCTCTAAACCCAAGCCCAGCCCATTCACGCCATTTTACGCTCTACTAGGGTTTCTCTCCCTCATCCTTTATAAACTCCGCTCTCTCTTCCGATATCCACTAAACGTCATTTCCATCAGTGGTCGACCGAGCGGACGATCCATCTGTGAAACCAAGCAAATCGCATCGCCATGAGAGCCAAGGTAAACAACAGATCTATATGTTTCTTTAGGCCTATTACTCATTCCTATCTCTAGTCTGAAATTTTGCGTTCGACTTTGTTGAATTCTTCAGTGGAAGAAGAAGCGGATGAGGAGGCTTAAGAGGAAGCGCCGAAAGATGAGGCAGCGATCCAAGTAGAATCTTGAATTTATCGTCTCCATCGTATGCCCTGTTTAGTTTTTCTCGTGCTGTTTTTAAATTTTGATTCCGAACGTTTCAGTTGAATCTCCTTTGTAGAATTCTCCGGATTGCAATTTTCCGTCATAGATTGAACTTGCAGTTTCTGTTCAATTCTCTGTTTTATTTTATCCTGTTGTTTTTGTTCGGTTTGGATATCCACTGCATTGCTTGAATCATATTGCAAGCGTTATGGAGATTTCTGTTAATCTTAAGTTTACTCTCTTTGTCTTGAGTATTTGAATCAACTTTTTGATAATCAATTATATTAATGTGGCATTGCATATTTAAATAATGAAAACTTTTACAAAGTTTTTGCCAGATAAACCCAAAGATTTCATTTTTGTCTTTGCATATGTGATGAAATTTATATCTAGTTGTGATGAGATAGTGCATTTGCTGATGTTAGCATAAGGAATTGATCATATGAGGTGGAGCATTTGTTTAAAGTGGTTCAGGGGTAAAACTGTAAAGCTATGAAACGAAAGCCTAAGAGTGATAAAATTTGTTCACTAAGGATTGGGTTGTCTTCCTTTAGCTGGAGTTTCCTCCGGAACCACCTTCAAGTAGCTCTTGGCAGTCCTCTGTTGCTCTTTTGATTGCTTCAGTCAGCTCCTGTTCAGTATCCACCTGTGATAGGAATATTTTTCCTATGATTGAAGTTGCCATAGATGGTTGTAGGTTTCAATGTTGTCCAGCAGTTGCCTTTGCCATTACTAATGGCTGTTGAGGGTTAA